GGAATTTTTTTGGTGCGCTATTTTGCAGTTTTTCGAAGCTAAAAGCTCGTTTAGGAGCAGTTTTTCAAGTTTTTGCATTGAAAATCGCTTGCCGGGCGCTTGCTACGCAGCTTTCGCGCACTTTTGCAAAACCGTCGCTCGCTGGAGTGGGGGGACACTTCAGCCGATGCAACATGTCATAACGTGTTGTTAACGTGTTATGACGCGTTGTTAACATGTTATAACGTGTTGCTAACATGTTAGTTTTGCAAAAAAAAACGCTCCATTTTCGCAAAGATGCGCACAACTACAAAACAGGGACATCAAAAGTTGCTTAATTTGGCCATTTTCGCCAAAAACTGAAAGAGGTCCCATGTACACTTTGCCGGTCGCCCGCCTTCGAGCCCCAGACCGTTTAGCCGCCCACATGCCTTCAGTGCTGGTTGCTGTGCCCTTCTGCGCTGCCCATGCCTGTAACAAGAGCGCGCGCTCAAGACGCACCTGCTGATCTGTTACCAGCTTCTCGTGCGCTGCTGCTTTCGGCCAGGCCGCATCCTGCACGGACCGTCACAGTTCCGTCCGCAACTGAGGATGTGACCATGCCTGCGTGCCACTTTCGGGTCCTCCTCTCCCCCTTCCGCTTTGGCCCGCGCACCTGCTCTCGTCGCGGAGCACTGGATGCGTACGACCACCGCTTGTGCCACGTCAGAGGGACTCGCCTCCCGCACCGGTCCAATTGAGCGTGCCAGCGCAGGGGTCTGCCAGGAGGCCGGAACTCGAGTTGATCGCACCTGGAGGTGCCCATCCACGACGTCCGTCGGATTGAGGTCGTTTGCAACGGCCGCCGTTGTGGCACGGCGTCCAACTCGCAGTCGCTTCTTGTGTGTTTCTCTTTCGTGTCAGCTCTGTTCCTAAGGTGGTATCTTATGCTTGTATGGGGTGAATGCTTGTCGCTTTGGTCGAAGTCAAGGAATAACTGGAGAACGATGCCATTCTGGTCAGCCCCGTTTCCCGAGACGGAAGACCGCATGCTGGGACTGAGGCCCAGCCGGGCCTCGCTGTGGGTGCTGCAGGCAGGCGCAAGCGAAGACAGAGTGCCCCGAGCTCGACCACGCAGGAGGTGTCGTGTTTGGACTTGAGGTTAGTGCCCGTTGGGACGCCCAAGCCGCCTCCTTCCTTCGCCCCGTTGCATGAGCACGTGCCTCCGCCACGCCTGCTGTGCTGCGCCCCGCCGCGCAGGCCGCGTGGGTGCTCCGCTAGCGTGGCCTCATCGCAGTTGCTGCGCAGCGAGTGCTTGCAACCACGTTCCCCGAACTCGCACTGCAGACTCGCTGCTACCTGAGCTGATCGTGGTTCTCGCCCCATCACTCTGACAAGCTGACTGGCAAAAATCCTGGAACGACTTATTGAAACGTTTCATGTTTCATGTCCGGCGAAATGCCACCACGTTCTGTGCTGATTCAGACATACGCAAAGCATTGGATGTTGCATGGAAAAATGGGGCATTGCTGCGCTTGCACCGTTCTGCAATCCAAGATGGGTTATGGCACTTGATTGATGACTTCATTTCGGATCGAACGGCGTCAGTGCAGATTCGATCCACTATGTCAGCTGATTGCGATGTTGAACATGGTATTGGCCAAGGTCGTCTCAAGTGGATTCCTGTTCAACATCTTGGTTACTGGTTTAGCCGCGGCCATTGAACGTGCCGGCAATGGCGTCCCTCCAGTGCTGCGCAGCGCCGCGCGCTAACTACTTGCTGCGCATCTTGCCTCCGCACCTCACCGAGGCCTCCTGTTGCGCATGATGCCGCCATCGCCCGCTGCCTCGCTGCACTGCTCGAGCAAGGTGAGACGCCCTTGCCGCCCGCCGGCCTTCGTGCCGCCCAGCGGCTCCAGCGCTTCGGCGGACTTTGCCTCCGCTCCGCCAGTGCAGACAGCAGTGCCGCACACTGGGCCTCGTGGCAGGACACACTGCCTGTCATCCGGGCGCGGACACCCGCAGCCGCGGCGCGCCTGCTTGACGCCTTGCGAGGTGAAGCTGCCCTCCCCTCCGCCGCAGCCGCAGTCGCAGCAGCGCAAACGTACTTGCGCCGCACTGGTTTCGAGGCCCCCGATTGGGATCCTCAAGGCGCGAACCCTCCCCCGCCGGAACCGCCACATGCAGGCGAGGGCTCCGACCCGAGGCTGGCAGCGACTAGCCGCCCGTGCGTGGGCGTGCGTTCGAGACGCACCTTTCTCAACTCTCCCGCGTCCCGTGCGCTGCTGCGCTAGCAAGCAGGGCCCTTCGCAGCCCGTGCCCTCAACGTGCCGCCCACACACAATGATGTCACGATCCCCAGCGCCCACTTTCGCGTCCTCCTGCTGCGACGCTTGCGCATGCCCCTGCCGCTCGCGCCGCGCAGATGTGCCTGCTATGGGCCCCTCGACAGGCTGGGCGATCATCGTGCTGCGTGTGCCGCCTCCGGGGTCCTGTCGACGCGCGCGCTGCCTCTCGAGCATGCAGTCGCGCGCGTTTGCCGGGAGGCAGGCGCACGGGTCGCCCGCAACGTTCGGTTGGCAGACATGAACCTCGACGTGCCAGTCGCCGACGAGCGACGAATTGAGGTTGTTGCCAATGGCCTCCCTCTGTGGCAGGGGTCGCAGCTGGCCATTGATGCCACGATCGTGTCCCCCTTGACGCGGCGAGGTGAGGCCCACCCTCGCGCTGACGCTGTACCTGGCACAGTGCGGCTGCCAGACGCAAGCGCCACGGCACCTACCCTGAACTCTGCCATGCCCGGAGGTGCCGCCTCGTTGTCTTCGGCACCGAGGTTGGCGGCAGGTTCGGCACCGAAGCGGTGCAGTTCCTGCGCCTCTTAGCGCAGCATCGGGCTGCCGCAGTTCCCAGATCGCTGCGCCCTGCCGCCACGACGGCCTGGGTCGCGCGATGGTCCGGCCTCCTAGCTGTCGCCGCGCAGCGCGTCTTCGCAGCCTCCCTGCTCGAGTTGCCTCCTGCCGCCGAGCTCGGCGACGGACCGGGGCCGGAGCTACATGAGCTTCTCTCGGAGGCGCGCTATGCAGCGCTCCGCACGTAGCACGCAGGTTGCACGGGGACCCGCCGTACCTTGCAGTCGCAAAAAGGTGCGTGGAAAAAAAAGAGTTTCACTTTATGCCGATGAACAACGAAGGGGAAGAGAAAGTGCGTCGAGCATTTGCTGCGGAATGTCAGCGGCAAATCGGGCCGTAGTTCCACCCAATGCGAAAACCAGCGGTTGCATGGGCAATTTGTGAGGTTAGTTATTGGTAATGTGGTTTTGCACTGTGCGGCTGCGGTTCCCAGCTCCCAAGATCTGCCCGCTCGGCCTTCGCAGAGGCCCTGGCCTGGCCTTCAGCGTTGCGTGGTTGCGACAACGCGCTTGCTTGCCGCGTTTCCAGCGGAGGGGGCATATTGGTTTGCAAATCCAGCGCCAATGCTTGGGCAAGCAGCGCGCTATGCTGCACTTTTCTGTGCCAGACGGGGGATCGTGCTTGGATGTGTTTGCGAAGATGTCGCTGCGAAGTGGTTCCCCAGCGCAGGTAGTTTGGAAAGGAAGCCGGCAGCAAAGAGCGGGCCGGTGCACACCACAGCGAGAACACGGCCACGGAACATGCGCCAGCTGCTTACTTCACATCTAGGGCTGGCCCCTTTGGCGCCCTCCGGTGCAGGAGCCCGACGCGTGTCGTAGTGTCGTGCCGGTGCTGTGTTCCTTTTCGCGAATGTGGATTTCGCCCTACCAGCGAGTTCCCTCGTCGGTGCAACCCGACCCGCCCTTCCCTCACTTGCGCCGCCAGAATGGTCAGGAGCCGTCCCCGCACCGTGGCATCCAAAGCGCGGCGTTGACAGGGTTTATGTTTGGTTAGATACCAATGCGAGACAATACAAGGCCAGCAACTGGAGACACATTGATGTGTTGGTGTGGAAACAATGGTCTGAATTGAATGATTCGTCGGTGTTGTTCGAAGTGTTGATGATTGCATGTTAAACAAATTGGAACTTGATGTATTGTTGTCGGCTCGCAGAACTTGCCGCGATCACAAAGGGAGAAAGCCGTCGTGCAGCGCTCGGATAAACTCCGCCATTACCTCATTCGCTTGACTTTCTAACGCTTTTGGGCCCAGGGCATGGAGTTGTGCATCGAGTACTGTGTGCCTCGGCGAACCAAAAAGTTTGGTCGTGTCGTGCATGCCCATTCGTTCAACTTCGTATGCCCAGTTCTACTACGGAGAGCGTGCAACCAAGCATGTTGCGGAGCGTGTGGGGCTCGGCATGGGTTCGGGGTGTTGTCAGTGGAAGCGCAGAGGCGCGGAGTTCGCTGAGGACCAGTTCCGGTGGCAGTGACGACAATCACGGCAAGCAGCAGGCTTAGCAATTGAAGGCAGTGAAGAATGATGGGATGCGTCGGATTTCTCGTTTTTGAGGTTGCTTGCTTTTGCTTCTGCTCGGTCCAGCACAAGAAGGTCGTGTAGTTTCAGCGAGCACCGGCGGCGGTGCTGTCGTGATGGCTGTGCGCCCAGCTTCCAGCGTGGCTTCATTGTATGAGGGGGTTGCAGTGCGACGCCGAGGAGCCGCCCATGCCCCGGCCGCAGTTCCATGACTTCCCGGACATTTGCTGTGGCAAGTTGGTTGTATAAGGTCACCGCCAAACGGTGTCCAACTCGGGCGTGAACCTCAAACTTTTTAAGTATTTGTTTGTTTGTTTGCTCGGGAGTGGGTTGTGATCGTTGGTTGGCGAATTTGTACGCTTTTTGCGTAACGCATGCAGGCAGCAAGTCGACTTTGATCGCTTGGGCCTTGGAAGAGGCATTGACCAATTTTTGAAAGTCGAGGTTCCTGTTGTCCACAGGTCGAGGAATGACAATGGGCACCAACGAGGACATGGCAGTGGTTTCGGTCTCTGGGACGTTTTTTTTTTTCCTCTGGGAGGATGGGGAGGGGCAGGGGGTTGGGGGCAAGAAAGAACATGAAATAAATTAGTGACGGAAAGAAAGACAGACAGAAACAATCAAAGTAAGAAAGAATGGCGGGGGTGCGCAAGAAAGATAGAAAGACAGAAATGGACAATTAATTGCAGAAAGATAGACAGCCAGAAACAATCAAATAAAAAAAGAACGACTTGAATTACCTTATGTGGTTGCAATTTGATATGGTGCAAACTCAGCGCAATAAGGATTATCTAGGTCGTCTGAGGTTGTGCTGTGTTGAACTATATCATAATATCCTGCTTATCGTGTCGTATTTTACAATTGAGTTGAAAGCTGACCAATCTTTTCAATAAACATAGCAAACGACGTAAGATGTTTTTTTCGAGGATTTGATAGAAGTAGAAGCCGTTACAAGAACAACAAGCACAATCATGACAGCACTACATTAGCAATAGACGCTGCGCCAACGGCGGTTTTAAGGGTTTTAGGTTGCTTGAGAAACGAGATCCGTCAAGCCTGAATCTTTACTCTTGAACCCTACATCTATCCAGAAGCTTCGAAACCCTGAAACTTAAGCAATGCTGCTGTAATAATCACTCGAGAACCCTGAGAAAGGCTTTGAGTGACTGTTGGAAGAATTGCTGTAGGAACTGCAGAGAGTGCTGCCCCAAATCTTTCTATATGTATGCATGTCCTTCTTTTGTTCGCTTCTCTCTTTGTATCTTTCTTTTGCTGTCTTTTATCGTTGTTTTGTTGTTTCTCTTTCTGTCGCTAGTGCTTTGTTTAAGTTCTTCCTTTCGGTATTTTGTTCGTTGTCGTGCCTTCATTCTTTATTTCTGTTGTCATTTCGGACATTTTCGGACTCTCCTCCTTTCCGCCCCTGTTTCAAGTTTTCGTTCGTTCCCTCTTCCACGCTTCGTGTCTTTCTGGTCTTTCTTGATGTCTTTGTTCTTCCAATATTTCAAAACATTTCTACAGTTCCGTTTTTAATTCTTTGTCGTTTTGTCGTTCATTCGGTTTACTTTATGTTTTGTCACAGACGGCTACATCGTATTCTGTATTCTTTACATTGTAGCATTTACGGTAAACCAATTGACACAGGCTGTGTATTGAAGGCGTTTGTAAGTTGCCCCGCAATTTATGCAGGTCCATCCCTCCCACCCAACCCCCCACTTCGCTGAAGCCAAGCCAAGCCGCACCGAGCCCTTTTTAAGGCTGCCCCTTTGTTTGCGCTCGGTACCATCGAGTGGACCCTTTTGGTATGCTTTTGTTTTGCTATCCGGATCAGACACTAAGACCAAATTAAAGCAGAAAGTCTGTACATGCTATTCAAGAGCGAACCTTCATGAACCTTCTAACTTCTGTTTTGTTTATGGTAAACGCGTTTTTGGTTTCGGGTAACTTATGTCGTCGATACAAAGATGTAATAGAATGCCTCTTCGAGTTTAGATAACCTCATTTCGTTGGACGATGTTCTAGCTTACTGGTTTATGTCACTTCATGTTAACCTGTATTATGTTACGAAGTATAGCAGAAGGGCATTACAAGTATCGCAATAGATTGCGTAGTATACTTTAACTTTAACTTATGACATAGAATATCGAACTCATCAGGCTGCATCTCCCCAACGATGATTAAGGCAGGAAATCTGTGCATTCAAGGCGTCGTTTGCTGTTTGGTCATGTACGCAAGTCCTTCATTGGCAGGTTTGCTGGGGGTGAGGGGGCAAACTGTTATTGCCATGGTTTCTTTCATAACTGTTGTTGCCATGGATGCTAGCATTGCTACTGTTATTGTTGTCGCTACCACGAATATCTGCTACTGTTCTGACTATCATCAACGTTATTCTTATTGTTTCTTTACTGTCATCAATACTAGAACTCGTACCATTATTATTTGAATTCTTACTACTAGGATCACTACTGTTGCTATTCATCATTGTTGCCATTATGTTCATGATGGTTCGTATGATTGGCATCACAGGTATTTATCAGCAGTCCTCTGTTCGATAGTGCGATCTCCCGGTGCACCAAGGATGGAGAGGTTTTCGGGCATGCTCGGGCAAGCGATTCGATGGACTGGAGGGAGGAGCCTGGGTGGAGTTCCCGGGCTGTGATGCACGAGGCCGGCAGCCGGAAAATTTGGTGGCCCGGTCCAGAGTGATCAGACGAGCGGTCCAGGATGGATAGTGTGACTATTTCGGTGGAGTGGACCCATGGAGCCTTCAACTGGCCGCTCCACTTCTGCGCGGTATCGCAATCCTGGTACCAAAACACCACTATGTACCGGCACCCCTTGCATGCGGACGTTTTCCAGATCTTGCCGAAGGAGCAGGTGCTGGCTTGCAGATGATGAAGGTGCCTGTCCGGGCACCCGGGGCACCGAGGTCGGAGGTCTTCCTCCCGCCGCCAACTCGGACTCTGGTTGGTGCTGGCGGCCTTCCAGCTTGTGGTTGTTGATAACATTGAGGTCCCATCGGAGACCAACTTGCTGGAGATGTTGGGGCGCAGGTTTTGAAGTCTTTTGAATGAGGAGAGGCCGCACTTTCAGCTGCTGATGATGTGGCCATAGCCACATGTGCCAGGGCGGGGTGTGGAGCCCGAGCTGACTTTGGCGGGACGAGGAAGAGAGCTGCCGTGCTGGTGGAGAGTCGAATGAGACTTGATTGTGCGGGAGGGATGCAGCAGCCCGAGGTTTTCGAAGAGAGGTCAAAGATCCAGGGGAGCCGTTCCATAATTGGATGAATGGGGGGCTGGCCAGACAAAGAAGATGGCAGCTGGCTGCGGGCCCTTCGGCTCTTGATCCCCAGCAAGCTTCCGCGAGGTGGCCTTGGTGGAGGACGACGTGATCGTGAAGCATTGCTTCCACATCTTTTCTCCGTCCCCGAAATGGCGGGGCTATGTTTTCATCGGGAAGGTGGCCATCGGCACGTGCTTTGGTGACGGCTATGGTTCAGTGCATTCAAGGCCGCGAGTCAAGAGTGCCCCGATGGGGTGGTCGAGTATCGTGGACTCTGTGCAGAGCTCCTTAGAGCGCTTTGGGAGCCTGGCTGGCGTCAACGCGGAGTGTGTGCGGAAGAGCTGGAACTTTTGATGTCCCTGACCACACCTCGGGACTATCACAGCTTCTATGTTGACAACTACGATCGGTTGCAGGTGGTGGCTGCCAGCGATCCGTGATCGTGGCGGTGCGGAAAACCATGGAAGCGAGGAGCAAGCAGATGCAACTGCATGTCGCGAACTGGCAGGTGGGTGACCTCAGCAAGGCAGCCCACAACGCCCAGAACTCCTCAACCCTCTCTTCATCATCCAGTTTCCGCATGTATTGGGTGACCTCCCGCCAGCAAGTTTTCCGCTGAACGCAAAGGCTTGGACGTGTGCACAACATATGTGTCAGGGACAGGAGGCGAGGCATCCATGCCTAGAAAGAGGTACCTCATAAGTGGGGTCCCTCCCCACAAGTCAAAACTCGACTTTAAGCAAGTTTGGGTCAAGACCTTGAACCAAAATGCCGCACACATTCACACTTTCACAGTGGACATGCAATGCAGTCACCCAGTGCCTGCCTAACACAGAGCAATTTTAACTTCCAAACACCTACGGAGGAAGGTCGGACAAGGCTCCAGAGGTTTCGTGGCACGCGGACTTGCTGCAACAGTTCTTGAGCCGGATCCTTACATGAATGGCTGCCCGCATCCCATGTGGCCTGAATTCTGCATGGGGCGTCTCGCCAGCCGGCTATCTCTCCTATGCACTCCTAGTCCACACCGACGAAGATCGGTCCGTTGACCAATATAACCTACACAGTGGATTCACTAGCCACGCGAAGAACTTCGGAAAAAATCGGCTGCACCTCGCAGCCACCGAAAAGGCCAACTGGCGTGCGGCCTCCGAGTACCCGGGATATAGCTTCTTAGCGCTTCTGGGTTGAAACCTTCTAGTGACTAGTACTTGCCGGCCTGGTGCAGCCAGGCATCGCCCGAAAGGAGCGGATACCTCAGGCGAGTCAAAACATGTGTGGATTTTGCTAGCACAAGACTGCCGGCCTATCCAGGCCTTGCAGACGGAGCTCTGCCTGAGGCCACAACACAAAAGTTGATCCGGGCTCGCTTCAAACCGTGCCCATCCGTGCCGGATCCGAAATAAACAAACGTTCCGTTCCGTTCGAGTTCGACTACGTAAGCCTCTTGACCAGATTCTGGCACAAGACAGTGCGGATCGTCCCTTTGCGTACTTGCGCCGCCATGGCACCAGCTTCCTTCGACATTGCCGTCATGACTGTTCCAACGATTGCCAAAAAGACTGCAAGGATTGCCATTATG